ACTGGGTCATTTTTGGCATCTGAAATCTAAAAGGAGTCATCATGAACATTATGTAAATCAAATAGATTATCAAACAATTATTAATATTCATTTCTCTTTTTTTTAAGAAATGAAACCTTTTATTCAGCAAGGATGTATTAAATTGTAAAAATGCTACTCTGTGAATTGTAAATGCTGCTCTTGTGAACCTTCTGTTCATCAAAGAAAAAAATTTATTAAATTAAATAAAACATGTATTTTTGTGTTTCCACAAAATTATTAAGCAGCACAACATCTTTCAACATGTTTTCAACATTCGTAATTATTCATAATGTTTATTTCGTTCAAAATCAGCATATTAAACTGATTTATCATGTGACACGGAAGACTGCAGTAATATCTGCTGAAAACTCAGCTTTATCATCACAGGAATAAACTAAAATATTAAAACAGAAAAGAGCTATTTTACATTGTAATAATATTTCACAATAATACCGTTTCACTGTATTTTTTATCAAATGCAACCTTGGTGAGCTTTTAAGACTTCTTTCAAAAAAATCTGTTGTTAGACTGCAGATCTGTGTCAGTCTTTGGTTTAAAACGATACCTGTGTAAGGATCTGCAGAGCTTCCTCAGCATCCTGGTCTCTTCCTGTCCTTACCAGAGCCTCTAGTTTCAACCTCTGCAGCTTATGAGTCCAATCATCAGAGTTCCCCACACTCGACTTCAGCCCTGAAGACACAAAACAGAATATTTCTGAGAACAGCCCTTTTCCACCCTGTTAGTGCAGCTGATTGAGTAGATGTCATGTCAGCTGTGTTTTAGATGTGTAGTTATTTTTATCATGCAGTACCTTGGCTGGAAGCTGTGGCACTGTCAGAGTATTTATGCATTTTTAGTTGAGCCAGAGCAAGATTATACCAGCCAATGATGGAGGAGCGCATACGCTTCAATCCTGCAGGAAAAACACAACAAAAGATTTAAACATATTATTTGTGATTTACATTGTACAGTATAGTTAGATACTGCTAGGAGTTTAATTAATGTTGTTTATTAATTAATGTTTAATTAATGTATAGCTGAACATGAACAAAAATCAAAGAGTTATTAAAACACATTTTTAGTTATCAAAATGAATCAAGAAATGCATTCTATTAATTTGATACACTGCATTTCTTGCATTATATACTTGACCTCTGGTCTGAAACATTCTTATTAAGAAGCTTGAAAAACTTTGATAACCTCCATCCATATTGGAGCAAATCACTAAACATCTGTGAATTCTTTATGGTATTTATAAACTCACCTAGACTAATACTTTTGATGGCATCCTCATATTTTTTATCCTGACAAGCTTTAATACCAAGACCAAAGTGAGCGTGTGAGTTGTTTGGATCCAGTTCCGAGAGACGGCTGAAACAGCGGGCAGCTTCCTCACTGCAGTCACCTACCAGGATCATCGGAGACGAGATCAATTATCTGAGAGCTATGTTTATTTAGAAATACTCAACATGAGTTTTATGTTTTCAGAAACAGGATTATTTTTGTACTTACATTATTGTTCAAAAGTTTGGAGTATGATGTTTCTGATATAAGTCTCATAAAGTCAATTTATTTGATTAAAAATACAGTAAAAACTATAATATTATGAAATATTATTACAAACAAAAACAACTGTTTTCTATTTCAATGAACTAAAAAAATACATGTATTTTAACAAATCCTTCCTGATCATCATCCAATCATTCTGATATGCTGATTTGGTGCTTTAAAGAAAATCTTACTGACCCCAAACTTTTGAACTGTAATGTAGATTTTAAAAAAAGGATAAACAATGAAATAGGAGTATAAAAAAAACTACTGGCCATCCAGCATTTGACAATTTTGTGTTTTTTTTTTTTTTATCCCATTGACTGAAACTGACCTGTTCTGATGTAGTGCTCACTGAGGGCCTCTAGAGGGTAGGAGTGTGTCGGATAGCGGGACAGCGTGGCATCACAAACTTCCTTTAGCTTGGCCACCTCATGAGGAAGCTGCAGAATACATAAATGAAACATTTGCTTTGGTCCAGTCATTATTATGATGAATATTACAATAATTGTGGCATATACAGCTTGCCAACCTTGGAAAGACATTTAATGTAGTCCTGTGAAAGGCTCCTGTGGGCTTCACTGGGCACATTTATCATCAATTGGAAAGCTCTTTCAAATGCTGATATCAGCTGTGGAGCAAAGAAATACACACTGTAAGCTTTGTAAAAATGCATGTGGTGACACTAAATTGTGGCCATGTACAAAAAAAGCACTTGGAAATTCTCAAAAAGCAGTATTTGAGACAGGTGAAATCGACTGACGTGTTGTTGAGTCTCATTGTCCTGATCCTCAACCGTGTCCTGCAAGAGTCTGGTCATCTCCTTCCACAGCTCCAGCAGCTCTAAATTCTCCACCCCTTCCTCTGCCTCCCTTACCTGGATTAACCTCCTCCACACTCGGGCCACCTATGGGTAGAGTAGCAAACATTTCACACATATGCAGATATGAAGCCTGATGGTGACTTTAGAAATAATGTGTAGATTATTTTGTGTAGGTAACAGACAGTGAAGTTATATCCACTTAAATCTTAAATCTAGTTGTAACATCAAGTCCTTATATTTAAAGATCACACCTGTAAATAGTTCTTCTCCGACTGATAGACTTCCACCAACTTCTTGCTCACTTCAAAACATTTCGCTTTGTCTGAGCTGCAAGCGCAGAAAAGAAATCAAGTAATAGCATTCTTTTAATCTTAAAATAAAGATATATCACTGGTTCTGAAACAAGAATCTGATCATTGCTTTTAAGTGTATTTTGGTTTAATGAGTGATGTGAGTGATAATGGTGTATAATACAATAAAATGTTTTACTTTTTTGAGAAAACTTTAGAAACCAGCTAAAAAATGGTTTTAAGTCAATTATTTCTGTCTTTTGCTGTAGTGTGTCAGTAGGAAATATCAGTTCACATTTCCAAATATTCATTGTGCCATTAATTGTAATAATCCAGTGAGATTTGTGTTTGCCAAAGCTACAGTACTGTTAAAAGTTTTAGACACTTGTGTAAAAATGCTGTCAAAAATAATGTCATAAATAGATTTTCTTTATCAATTAACTTCTATTAACTAAATTAAATCAACATTTGGTGCGAGCATCCTTTGTGTTTAAAGCAGCTTTTGCCCTCGGTGCACATGTGCATAGTTTTTCAGGTAGCTTTGCAGGTAGGTTTATATATACAAAAGAAACTAATTGTTTATGAATTCAAATTCTCCAAGTAACAAATATGGCAATGACACCCTCTCAGATTACGATGTAAAAAAAAAAAAAATCTTAAAATTATTGATATTTCTGAGCTTTGAACTTTTATTCTGTTTCCCAGGAAAAGATGTGCTCCTCTCTCACTTCTCATATCTACGATAACCAAATATAAAAGTTTTGGAGACAAATAAACAACTCATACAAAAATTACTGGCATGATTATAATAATGTAAGTGCATATCCCTGATTTTAATACTTTTTATTCATTTATTGTGAAGTGAAATTTAAAGCGTCTGGGTAAGGGAAAATTCCAAAATGTAAGAAATTCTGGTAAATTTAACATGAACGCTTTCAAAAATGCAATAAGGTGAATAAAGTGGCAAAAGATTATAACTGATTAATTACTCTATAATTCGATTTTTTCCCCCTTTAAAATTATGCTAAGAGGAAAGAAGACCACTTTACTTACGTTTCATACAGTGTAATAAGTTTCTGGTAAATCTTTGGCAGCTCAGCTTTGAAATCTGCTCGGTCACTTTTTTCGTACAGATTTGCTAAACCCTGTAAAAGAAATCCACATCTAGTGCTCAGCTTTGAAATCTGCTTGGTCACTTTTTTCGTACAGATTTGTTAAACCCTGTAAAAGAAATCCACATCTAGTAAAAAAAATTAAAATATCTAAAAATATCTAGTCCAGCAGTGCTCAATGCCATCAAAACAAATTTAACAAACAGCTAACAAACTGTGTCCCAAGATAAACACTACATTTGGACTATTGATTATAGTTTATATACCATGACTGACCTGCCATGCAAGCAGTTGCTCTGGCTCCAGTTCAGTGGCCTTTCTGTAGGCGGTCTGAGCCTGATCCAGCTGCTGCAGCTCTGTAGCTGCCACTCCAATAAACACCCAGGCATTGTAGTTATTCTTCTCAAGTTTGAGAACAGCCTGGGGTGCACAAATATAGTTTAACTTGAGAGACACATGTTTAACTTACACACCCATGCAAATACAGTCAATCAGGAGAAAAGATGAGATGGAAGCTATCTATAAGTCTACAGAGATAAAGGAAGTTATTTACTGTATGCTGACAGCTGTAAGTAAACGCTTACCTTACAATGTTTCAAAGCTTCTTTAAACCCTTTATTTTTGATGGCTTCTCTGGCACTTTTTAGTTCAGCTTTTACTTCTTTACTGGACATTTTTTTAATCAAATAATTTGACAAAAATTGATGTTAATGAAGCAGCAGCAGTAAAGGATATTTACATTAGGTATGTTATGTTGCCTGATAACTTGCTGTCATTAGACATAGAGAATTATTCTTTAAAGCGTGCAAAAAAATAACTAAACAGTCGTATAAACACACTTATTTTAAGGGCAAATTTTGTATTTGTATAATGTTAATGTAAGAAATGCACATACGGCCGAACTTGACTAGTTTCCATTCGGCAAGAGGCAAAAAGCGCATGCGTGAAGTGAGTGATACTTAACGCGACGTCATTATACCGCGACACGCATTGTTTTTATTCCCCTATAACATAATAAAACAAATCTATTCGTGTCCGTGCCTTACATTCATTTTATATTTATAATATGAAATGTTTGGGGAAAAAAATCGTATTCCTAGAGAGGCGACTAGTGTAATCTCTACTAAACTTGATTATGTTTGGAGGCGGAACCAAAGTTAAGCAGCCAATCCCTGAAGGGTTGCCCGCACACGGACCAATTGGTGAACTCACCAATGCAGCCTGTGTTTAGTGTGTCCCATGTGTTGCCCATGTGAGAGACGCGTTGAAAACTGTACATTGGAAGAAACTGTAAATTCATGAATTAATTGAATATATCCTTCTAAAAACTCACATTTCTATCAAAATGAAGAAGAGAAAGGAATCGGCTGAAACGGAAGATCAGGTTCGTGCGGTTTCACGCAGTTTTCTTATCACATTACTTAGCAAAGTTGTATTTTTTTGTATTTTAACTTAAAATACATAAAATATGTTTAAAGATTTACTTTTGTTGATATATATACACAGATGGAGTTACTAGATAACTCTCAGAATGATGAAGAAAATGAGAAAAAGAGTGCAAAACAGTCAAAAGACTCCAAACGAAAAGCGAAGGGCACCGTGTCAGATGGTGGGGTCTTACGGCCAGTCAAGCTGTCCAAAAAAGAGCTGTACAAAGCCCCAACTGTGGAAGAGCTCAACCAGTTGAAAGAAGCAGAGAATCTCTTCCACTGCAGCATATTGAAAATGCAGGTCAGAAATTATTTACATTTTACTGTCTTTGTATGTTATCTTAACATGTTTAAACGTGTCGTATTCAACAACACTGAGCTGCTCAGTGCATGGCATGACTGTATATTTTGAGCTTTTCTTATCACTGATTCATATGGATGATGTTCAGATGGAGGAACTGCTGAAAGAAGTGGCCCTTAGTGAGCACAGGAAGAAGCTGGTGGACTCCTTTGTGCAGCAGATCACAGATTTCTTGCAGTGTGTGCCTGAATCTGAAGTTGTGGAGGTCAGAAATCTGTGTGGCATTCCCATCAGCAGCAGCAAAAGTGCTGATTTTTACTGATACTCTATGGTAGCTGGCAATATCATTTTTCTTAATAGTTTTCTCTTTCTCTCTAGTTGGATGATATTTCATGGTTGTCAGGTGTTGAAGTCCCATTCCTCCTCGTCCCATCGACAGCAAAAGGCAAATTTCACATGGAGCCTCCTGCATCAATCAACCTGGTGGGCAGTTATCCACTGGGCACGGGTATCAAACCCAAAGTCTCTGTGGACTTGGCTGTTACCATTCCAGCTGTAAGTTATACCTCAAAAACAACTTTTCTGCCTCTCTGTTGGTATATACTGTATATAAAATATATAACACGTGTGTGTCTGTCTATAAATCTGTCTGTCTATATATCCATACATCTGTCTGTCTCTCTGTCCTTATATCTGTCTGTGTGTCTGTCTGTCTATCCATCTGTCTGCCTGTCTTTCTGTCTGATCATCCATCCATACATGGATATGTCTGGCTGTAAATATCTAGGCCTATCTGTCTGTCTCTCTGTCTGTATATGCATCTGTCTGTGACAATCTATATATGTATAGTCTATAAATCTGTCTATCTATCTATACATTCATCCGTCCGTCTGTCTGTATATATTTGTCTGTCTATAAATCTGTCTGTCTGTCCGTCTTTGTCTAAACTAATTCGTGCATTAGTTCATTCTGTTACAATATGGTGTATTTTCTCTTTGAAGTCTATTTTGCACCCAATGGATGCCATTAACCAGCGGTACTCTCGAAAGCGAGCGCTGTATCTGGCTGGCCTGGCACGGCATCTCTCCTTCGCAAAGTGTGTGGGTTCACTGCACTACTCTTGTCTACATGGCAACCGACTTCGCCCAATCCTACTACTCAAACCCCCAGGTACAATTGTTGTAAGAGTAGTTTGTGGTACTCATTAGCTCCTCGAATTTTGCATCACATTTACTTGCAAGTGCTTTCATGCCAAAGTGTGTATGCTGTTATTATCTGCTCAAACGTTTTAGTTTAGTTAATTGCTTTTAGCACACCCTTTTCTTTTGCTGCGTGGAGTACACTAATAGAAGCAACCATGTGGAAAAAACTGAGATTGATGGTCTTACTCCGGAGCGTGATTATATTCCTGTTTGTTTTAAACTGAAGTGATCATGTAACCTTTGTGTGTGGACTTTAGGTAATGACAGCAGTAAGGTCACGTTAAGGATTCATGCCATTCCACCACCGGACTTCCTCAAACCTAGCCGCTTCCATCCTCAGAAGAACAACATCAGGACTGAGTGGTTTACTGGTGTTGCCAATACGCAGCAAGGTAATGAGGAATTTTCTGAGATCAATTTCAGTTTCATGACTGAGGTAGCAAACAATAATGATCATATTTCTGTCATTTTTATGATGCAGAGAGCAGTGAGCCCCCAACTCCTCATTATAACAGCACAGTTCTTGGAGATCATCTCCCACTGTCACATCTTCAGTTCCTGTCGGCCATCAGTGCACAGTGTCCTGCTTTTGGAGAGGGTGTGGCCCTCCTCAAAGTGTGGCTAAGACAGCGAGAACTGGACCAGGTAAAACCACATTATTTCTGTGTGTGTTTGTTCGTATGTTCATTTAATCAATTTTATTTTATTATCTGTGTCTTTTTCAAATTCCTTGTGTGTGTAAGCACTTGGCAATAAATGTTATTCTTATTCTTAATCTAAAGGTTCTCATTCTGATATTGTAGTTTTAGTAGATAGATTGTATTTAGCTAAAGACATAGTTCACCCAAAAATGAAAATTCTGTCATTAATTGCTCACCGTCATGTCGTTCCAAACCCATAAGACCTTCGTTCATCATCTGAACAAAAAGCAAAAAGCTACGAGAATACTTTTGTGTGCAAAGAAAACAAAAATAATGACTTTATTCAGCAATTTCTTTTCCGGTCAGTCTCTGCCACCATTCAAGAGAGTACCAAGACACATGCGTGTGCATTCCTCTGCTTGTAAACAAGGCGCAGCGCAGCCGGCTCCTGCATCAGCAGCACCACACGCATACGTCGTGGTGCTCTTGTGAACGTGCATCAACTGACACGGAAGAGAAGAAATTGTTGAATAAAGTCATTATTTTTGTTTTCTTTGTGCACAAAAAGTATTCTCGTAGCTTCCTAAAATTACGGTTGAACC